TAAAAAATATTATTTACCTATCTCTTTCAATATTCCTATAAATAAAAAATATTGATAAAAAAATATGACTATAATTTCAAATATTTAAATTCTTTATTTATTGCATTTCAAAATAATAAAATTTTTATATTGTCATCCCCAAGTCTAGAGCAACGATCTTGCCATACTAAATAATAATTCAGCAATAGCACTAGAGGGTAATGTAGTATTAAATTTAATGTACATATTTTTTATATTAGAAAAATCATCAAAAAAATTCAATGGAGGAGATTTAAAAAATGCGTCTAGAGTATTTTCAATAGTATTATTATCAAAAAAATTATCTATAGTAGATAGCGTTGCTAGGGTATCCTAATTTTATATAGTATTATTTAACGTTACCATTTGCCTATCAAGTTACTATTTGGATTCAGTCAAATTAATATATGGCCAATTCAACTTAAAACTAGGGTGAACAATAGCAGCTATGTTTAACATCCAGATACTAAATATATTAATTTATAAAATATTACCATTAAATAAATGAGTCTGATAATAAAATGAGAGGTTAATAATTATTTATTGTAATTTATAATATAATTCTTAAATAATATCTTATGACCAGTTGAAACATACCATGTTTGGAGTGATCCGGAAAATTAACATTCACTTAAACTCATCTAGCTCAAAAATTATTAAAGATACTTTCAAGTTTTATTTAAAGATAAAGGATTGGGCTGCACATTGAGGTTAAATTTGTTTGAATTACCTTTAAATGTTTTCTGAAGTTGAAGCTAATAATCTTGTTTGATAATTGTTGTGATTGCATTATTTTAATTTGAACTTATTTAAAATCTTGTGTATATAAATTTGAATATTTACGGAAAATAGTTTTTTTCCCTTTATATTAATTTATAATTAATTTTTGGTATTAGTATTTAATAAAGGATTCAAAACTATAATTTTCGTATATATTTTTATTTCTATTTTATATTTAGGTTCTACTCCCCCAATCCAAGAATTACCAACTGTGACAATAATAAAATCCTCTGGCACATCTTACAATAAAATTTACACCCTGTTAATTATTTTATCGAGATTAAAATATTTTACGAATTTAGGAAAAGCAAATTCCATATTATTAACACTTTCAGAAAAATTACTTTGTCGATATATCTGTACCAAAATTATCTTCAATATTAATCTCTATTGTCAACATTTAAAAATTTTAATTATTTTGAAAATTTGATTTATAATTCATATTCTTATATAATGATTTAAATTTAAATTTCAAATTAAATTAAAAGATTCTGATTTTATATTTTAAAATAAGTGTATTTATCAGAGACCTGTAGAGGTACTATTTGCATAGGTCGGCCAGGCTTTATATTTTTAGGCCCTTTTCGGACAGGCCTGGATTTTTTTTAAAATATATTACATATATTTTTAATTTTTATAACTAATAATGGCGATTCAAAATTTTCATGTGCGGCCTCATTCTCTACATCGAAACGAGTTCTGAGCACTAGAGAATCGAAGTTCGTAAAAAAAATTTATTATTTTGATGGCTTATGAAAATAACACAGAATTTATATGAACAATATTTAACTTTATTTACTTTAAAAATTTTTTTATTATTCAATTTATTTATGTTAAATTAAAATAAAAATCGTCATTACTTTTCAGAGACATTTTACCATATCTTTTTAGTTTATACTTTAAAATCGAATATTGATTTTTTTTTGTATATGGTTGTAAGCTAAAAAATTAAATGTATAAATAAATAGTTCAATTAATTGTTTTATATTGTATAATTTATAATTTATAAATTTTGAATGAATTTAAGAGGCGCACTTTGGATCGTTCAAATTCGGATCGAGGGATCATAGGATATTAAGCCATTTTTTTATAAATGGATTTATATCCCCATTCACAATTAGCTCCAATTCGCATTGAAGTATAAAAAATATGCTATGTTTTTGCATACTTCGGCCCTAATTTGCGCTAACTATGAATTCAGGTTTAAGCGGACAAGATAATTTGATATAAATTTTATAGGACGTCGGTTATTGATTTCTTTTCTAAATTGATGAAACATGATTTTGTCATAAATTTGACGAACTTTTGTATTTCCATAAGATTATCATGAATAGTCGTTATAGATTTGATGATTATTTGGAAGTGAAGATAAGGTAAGAATAGGATGATGCCGCTTAATTAGAAAGAATTTACAATTGTTAGCTGTTGTGTTCACTTTTAAATGAGGCAAAATATTTTCCTTTTAGACTGGCTCTACCAAAATTTATTATTAATTTGGGATAAGAAATTCTTAATTTTAATAAAAAATTTACCCCGACTGCCAAAGATAAGAAACCTGAATAAATTAGTGACGCGGAAATGTTGTTTTCATTAAATAAAGAATGAGAAGGTTATTAGCTAAACTTTCGAGTAAAGGTCGGCGCAACCTGGCTTATGGAAATTTTTAGATTTATTTCTGGTCCATAAAATAATTTTACACAAGTTATCGACAACACATTAAATAATGGGTGAAGTACTTACAGATAATTTTCTTGTTTTTATTATAGCAAAAATATTTATTTTTAAATAAAATATAATTTAAAATATATGCTTAAAAAAATGGTATCATATCGACACCACAGCTTCCTAGCAATATTAGCAAACAGGAGGCATAGTGATTTAAAATAAATAAATAAAGCCGAAAATGTTGCATTGATTGTATACCTCCATTTTATTTATTCTGTTTTAATCATCCAAATTAATAATTTTATAGCTTTAAAAACATAAAATGTTATCTCTTTATATTTTTAACATTGGCAATAAAAATAATATATTGAAATTTAATATTTTTGTAGGTTTCGATAAAGATGATCTCTTTGGCATGGTTAAATTTTGTAAGAGGGGTCCATTTTATATTATCGTATCTAAAAGGGATAATGGATTTAGGGATTAGCTCAAAAGGAATGGAATAGGATAGATTTTATTGCATATGTAAGAATCAATACAACATATAACTAATATATATTTCAAGGATATATTTTATTGTTAATATTCGTAAGTAGGAATTAAACACAACGTATAAGTTATTTCAAGATGGATAAAAATGTGTATATATTTTAACTATCAGTAATTGTATAAAAGTCACAAGAAATAATGGTGTATTTATATTGTTTTTTAAACTCTTATATATAAGAGCATAAATTTTTATAAAAATTTAATTCGCCACGCTGATTGGATTCAAAATATTTTTTAATCTTTGTGAGTAAATAAGCTGTGGCGTTAAAAATATATGAAAATGCACACTTCACATCTAATTAATATTGCTAAATGACTAGATTTAGTCGATATTTTAAAACGGCCAAATCACGATTTAAGCTAAAATATGATTACATAATTTACAAAATTCTATTAATCAATTTTGAAACTTTTCTGCCACCTACTAACAAAATCCGAAGCTTGGATAATTTAGTTTTGGCTAAAATCAGTTAGCCAATATAAAAATTGCATAGAGCCGTTTTAAAGCACTACGTGTAATTTGATTTCTAAAAAAGAAGTTTTCTCGTTTGTAATTAAATTTTCAAGATGTTTTAGGTAAAGAAAGACCCCCCCCCCCCTTCCACAAGTATAACCCATCTCTTCTCCTCAAACACAAAAGTAAAATGATTGGTATTTCCCATTTTTGTCATAAAATTTTTAAGTATAAACAAAACAGAGCAAATTATATATTTATATATAGCCAAATCCCTCATCTATAAAATAAAAAGTGTATCTCTCTACTTATAATATTTAGGAACTGTGATTAATTATGTGAAGTGTGCCATTTTTACCATTTTACTTCATATCCAGGTTAAATTGGTTATGCATCAGGGTAAAAGTGGTTAAAATAACATTGAACATAATTATATTGTTTAATTAAACAAAATATTGCAATTTTGACATCTATTCATCACTTTTAATATAAACAAATCAATACAATAATGGATGTAAAATATTATATTGGAAATAGCACATTTTGAGTGTCCCCATTTTAGGCACATCGTACATTTCATTTATTCTAACCCTTTGTGACTTTCTTAAAATTTTATTCCAAATAACCCATAAATCATTTATTAATGTTCTTATTTGCTCAAAATATCTTTTTATGAGGTTGTAGTCGTTAATATTTAAAATGATCTTTTTACAGCTTGACATATTTTAACCGTTTTACCCATAACAACTTTAAAATCGTTATTGCGTGACTTCTAGTTAAGCTATAAATTTTCGATAAATTTAATTTATATCTATGTCTTCAAGGAACATGTATAATTTTTAAATTTTTAGCCTTAATATATTTTGTTAAAAGCAAAATTAATTAGAGAGTAATTTTTATAATTTTTGGGTATAAAACTGTTTGGTACAATATGTCAAACAAGGAAAGTTTTCCAAATGATGAACATAGGTAAGAAATTATATTTAAAAATACATCCCTACACCAAATAAATGGCAAGGGTTAAAAAGTTATTCACATTAACATTTTAACTTCGTCAATCCTTTACCCCTGTCTCCCCTAATTGAATGTTTTGAATTTTGTTATACTTGACAATTTATAATTAGCGCCTAGTATAAATTATTTATTTAAAAATTATATTATAACGAATCAAAATAATTTTTACTAATCCAATTCAAATATTAGTAATAGTATATTATATAGTATAAATAAATTAAAGAATTTTTTGTATTTAAAAAAAATCCATAATCATTTGCAATATTAATTTTAAACGATCGTTTTTAGGATCAAGGCTTCCTCCAATTAAAAATAATTTAATAATACGATTATTATTTTTTTCTTTCGATACCTTTCTTTAATTGTAAGAATGTTTCGAATCATTTAAGAATTATTTAATTTTAAGATTATTTAGATAATAAGTAAAATTATTTTATAAGCCGTATAATTCTTATAAATTTAGCAAAAATAAAACTCCCTCCAAAAAATGACAATTTTAAGAATTTGTACATTTCTTCTAATGGTATACAATCATGAAAATACTATCCTCAAAGATTTTCCTCTGACTCAATTGTTGAATTTAAAAGATATCAACGTGGGCGGTCTGTACGATATTTACCAAAATAATCCCAACCCGATCTTCATGTGCTCAAACGAATTAAACTCTCTATCCATACTCAAAGCTTACAGCATGATATACATGATCGATATATTAAACAAAAAATTGTTCATACCTTCGTACAATATAAGCATAGGATATTTCATTGTGCCTACATGTTTTCACGTTGCAACTACCCAAGTAAGATATATATCACTTTACTTAATTAACGGCAAATATCAATTTAAAATAAAACAGTTAGGGTGGAGAGTAATATTTTTTTGACTAAAAAAAATTGGCTTTCATTTTAGAGTTGACTAAAGATTTTTCTTTCTTTTAAACGATTAGTTGAATATAGTGGGACTTATTTCTAGGATAATATTTATATAATCTAATGTGAAGATCTCCAGAGTACTAAAATAAAGTTTAGGCCCGACTTGGATTTCCCATTTTCTAGGTCGATTCTGATTCAGCCTAGCTCAGATTTTAAATCACAACTTTTTATCATCCCGGTTCTTGACTGATTAATTTATACAAACAAAGTAGGATGAATCTTGTAAAAATATAATGAAAAATAATTAAGTTTTTAACTTAATTATCTGCTCCTACACTACAATTTCTACCAAGTGATAAAATTAAAATAGAAAGGAGCATATAATTGATAACGATTTTAGTGATCTAAATAGCTTACATCTAATGAAATTAACAAATGAATTTTCAAAACTTGAAAAATTGATGAAATTTTCAGAAAATATAAAATAAATTAAATTATGATTTCTAAATTTTCAACTAATTAATCATTTTTTATTACTGGACGTAAGCGAAGGGGAAGCAACGTTATTCCTCTTTCAAAATTTGCCTGTTTTCTTAATTTTCCAATAAGCTCATAAAAATTTATACCAACACTCCTGCCCCCCCCCCTCTTCTAAAAACATAATTTTAAAGAAAAATATAACAATTAATAATTTTTTAATTTTATGACTATAAATTTTTCAGTAAAATTCAGTTCGGGCTGGGTCTGGCTTAATATTTTTAAAAATAATTCAGGTTAAGCAAGGCCTTGTCGGGCATAAATTTTAAAATAAAATCAATATATTCTAAAATTTTTATAAGAAACAAGGCGCCAATATTTTTTATATTTTCTTAGAATGATCCAAAAATTTGATAATTTGCCATAAAAATGTATAATTATATTTAAAAAAAATTCATTTATATATTTAAAACATACGCATATCCAGGATTTTTCTAAGGATGGGGGGGGGGCACTATTAGGTACGTTTATTCCACATATATTTTATTGTAAATACCTAGGTGCACTTATTGTAGGCCTTTGGCTATAAATTTCTATAAATACTTTTGGTTTTCACTTTTATTATAGAAAAGTTTTTTTTTCTAAAAATTTTGAATTATAACCGTTAATTGTATTATAAATTTGTCTGAAAAATATACAATTTGAGCAAAAATAGTCTTTTAAAAAAATTTTAAAAAATGGTCATAAATGATTTAAAACATTAAAATTCACATTATATACTACCAGGAAAAAAATAATATTAATTTATATCAAACCTATAAATATATCCATACATTAATTAGGAAACAAATCATGTATAATAATATTATTGCACGAAAATTATTGCAAAGATATGTAATTGTAAATGAATTTTTTTAACGGTAAAAGAAAATATAAAAATAAAATTAATACTAAACAGTACTTTAATTTATGTAAATTTTGCTTGCTTTTGCAGGCAGCACATATGTCAACAGACGGGATATACAACCTAGTTTATGGCCAATGGCAATTTGAAACTTATCGTTTGTGAGTAGTATTTCCTTTTTCCTACTCGGGATCGCGTCCAGTCATTCAGGTCCGTTAGGTTTTTTTTTGCTTTTCTGTGTAGCCGAAGGTTAGTTAGATCGGGATAAACAAATTTTTTAAATAGGGAGCTCTTTAAATGGCTAGGCGATCGGACTCTTGGAGAACTATAACAAGTCAAGATTGTTTGGCTGAAGCTAAAAGTGGAAAATCCCTTAAGAAATTGCCATCAAATAAGCGGGGGGGTGAAATCCAACTCCTCCCTGGTAAGCAGTCAAAGAGGCAAATGACCAATTAAAATCAGAAAACTTTAGTACTAAATGGGATTCGTTGAAATGTTTAACTTTTAATTCGAACGACTTGAGGAGGGAATTATATCGGAAAGCCAGGGAAGATTTAAAGCTGTGTAAAAATTGAGGCAAGGAAAAACATTTTTTGGTGAAGAAAAAAACTGATGCTTGGGAAGATGAAGATTCTTTAGCGAATTGATTGAATCAAATTGTCAAAATAATTTTGACAAAGCCGATAGGAGAACTTAAAAGACAGAGTTTCTCGTGCAGAAGGATTTTAAAGTCTGGGGGAAAGATAATATGCTTATTGTTGAGGGAGGATATCTCGAATTTAAAAATTTTGTAACTTTTATTAATTTTTCTTTCAAATTCTTCTTTATAGTGATATATTGTATTCATTTTTGGGGGAGAGGGGGAAATTCTTTATTTTTGCGATAGGGAGGGGGTGGTTCCACTTCCTACCCTTAGTCACACGCCTGATTTAAATAAATTCGGGGTGGACTGGGGGGACATCAAATTTATATTTTTATTTCGGGTCAGGCTCATCGGGACAAATAAAAAAATTTGTTCGGGATTAGGCTGGGTCGCATAATAAAATTTCAAACCGGGTCTGACTTATAAAATTAAGACTCGATGCATATACTAATCTTCACAATGTTAAAATTAAAAATAATTTAGATTCAATGCATAATTAAAAACGATATCAGGTATAAAATTGGTTTGGTAGGTTTGATCGGTCCATCTTATAGCCAAAGCGCATTCTTCACATCACCATTATTATCATATTATAAATTACCGCATATTAGTCCTGAAGCAAGTGCTGTGCAGCTTAAGGGAAGAAAGTAAATTTGCTTTAATATTTTAGAAATTTATTGGAATACGATATTTGGAATGGTAATGGGATGGGAGATTTAAGTATATAAATATGTCATATGTGTTCTGTTTTGGTATAAATCAGATACTCCGGGATTCCGACCTTTTGAGTGTCCTGCCCAGATTAGAATTTTGTTCTTATTTTTAAGTCTGACCATGCCCGGGATTTTAAAATTTCGACGACCTTAATAATTTTGGCTGTATTTTGCAAATGTTTCAAAAGGAAAATCGAAAATATGATAAGTAAATGAATATTAAACTCTTACATTAGGATGATTTTCTAACATTTACCAATGGATTAAGATTGATATAATTTAAATTAATTTTTTAAAAATTAGCTCGACCTAGATTTTTAATTTTTTTTAAAATTTAGACCCGGACTGGATATGTATTCTTAAAATCATACTATTTTACGGCCCGTTTGGGCTGGGCCTGCAAATTTCTGGTAAAATTAAATATTGAGCTATTCGTTTATTTTTAAAAATTGAAATAAAATGTTAAAATATTTATTTTATAAAAATATGCGATATAAATAATTGAAAATTCCAAATCGGAATGAAAGAAAGTCTGACATTTTTGAAATTTTTTATATAAAGAACTAGAATTTGTTCAATATATTATATATTTTCAGTTTATAAAATAAATTTGGATTTTTTTTTAATTATATATAAAATTGATTACTCTAACAGAATTATCTCATTTTACTTTGAGGAAAAAACTAAAAATCATAAATGGGAAATTTCTATCGTTTTTCATATTTTATGTAATTTATAAACGCTCTGCGAACCAAATCGAACCCCGAAACCGGAACGAACCGTTATAATTTTCTGAACCATAACCTAACCGTTATAAAGAAAATATAAAAAGAGCAAAAATATTATGAATTTTTGAATTAGTTTAAACCGGTTCTTAATAGTTTTTTTAAAAATAATTTTTATTAACCAAATATGATAATTTTCCATAGGCAATTTAAATTCGTGATTTCTTTTCAAATTAAAATTTTTTTTACAATTAAATCGCCATTATCTTCATATCAATCAATGCCAAGTTTATTTTTTTAAACTTTAACTCTTTTCTCTAAGTTATGATTAATTTTTTTTTAAAAATCAAATTTATAAAAACGGAACGAACTTAAAAGAACTGTTATAAATTCTAAACCGAATCGGTATGAAAAAACCGAATAATCCTGAGATTACATTATGACAAGGATCGCTATATAATCCTACATTATACTTCGATCCTGAGAAAGCCTTCCTTAGAGAGATTTCAACTTATTTAGGATCTGCTTGTTTTTGTTATATCATTTTTAACTTAGAACATTAAAATTTGATGGAAGGCAGGGCAAAAAAGAAAGTTAATTTTCAAATGTTTTATTTTTTAAAATTTTTATTATCTACTTCACTAAAATTTCGTTGAGTTTATATATATTTTTTATATTAACTAATATGAATATAATGTATACAAAGTTACAAAAGATGCAAAAAATATATAAGTCGTTTCTTTCTAGTTAAACTAGATAAAAAAAACTTTTAAACAAATTATTTTAAGATAAAAGAAACCTTTAAACAAATGATTTTAAGGTAAAAGAAACTTAACATATACGGAAATTAAGTTAACAAATAAATTATATTTTGAATACACCTATCTTAACAAACAGCATATTTCCCGAAATTCATGGTTTTACACTCCAAGCAATTTGTAATTAGCTTTACTATTTTGTTTGGGATGAAAAATAAACCTTTGAAATATTTAAGTAACAATTTTTTTCTGCCATTTTGTTCTTTATATTATCTTATAAATATCAACAATGAAATCCCAAAGCGTTAAATTTGAAATCCAAAAGTTCACAATTTAAGAAGAAAAAAAATAAAGTTTTACTCTGTCAAACTTTTGCAAGAAATGAGGTACGGGTTCATATATATTTCCAATTTTTTGGTGATAATAAATTAAAGTATGAGATTCAATCTTATATAAAATTGAATTTTGTCAATAAAAGCACTATGATTACGATATATTAAATATTTTTATAAATAAAAATAACAGAATTTAATCGGTTAATGATGCTTGCTACCTTAAGGCATTACCTATCAAATGTGTATTTTATTTATTTTTTATTTGGATAGGCACTACCAAATATTTTTATAATATATATTTGAAAAATCGTGATTTTTGGAAAGCATCTGTGGTCTAGTCCGCAAGAGCGTTGCTTACCAATCCGATGATTATGAGTTCAAATCCCATAATGATCATATTTTTTTCTTAATATTAATTGGTGGTTCCGTCCTTGGGGAATGATAAATAGGAGGCCGGACTCGACCACGTGATTCCGTTATAATATATGTTAAATAATAAGGGTCTTATTACATTTAATAAATTTTGGTATTTGATAGTATGTATCAAATAAAAATTGTAAAATCACGATTCGCTCGGTATTGTCTTTGGTAGTAAGCATCATTAACATCTAACATTATTGTGTTTTTTATTACCAGTAGGTAACAAGTCTTTGTAATTTAAGCTAAATAGATATAAATTAAAATATAGATGATAATTAACTGTATTTTTATAATTCAATTTTGTATAAATGCTATATAATACCTTTGAAAATAAAACTATAACAGATTCAATTACCTATTCCAAATAACTTCGAATCAAATATTCTATCTCAATGCTATACTCAGCTTACTTCAACTCTTCCGATGGAATGAAATATTAATAATTTATTCACCTATACCGTATTTTGCTTGGTTTAGGGATCAAATGAACATCGCAGCTACCCGTGATAATTTTTGCATTTGGCTTGAAATCGAGATCAAAACGGTTAACTCAAGTAAATCGATGAAAAAAAAATTTAAAACTTTAATAAAAAATACAAAGGCAAGAGTAGCATTGCTATTCATTTCCGATTATCAATTTGAGTATGTCATAAATTTGATACATTCGGTATATGCCGCTCCCAATTTTATATATATTGGGATTGATTCATGGCCTTCGACAAATCAATTAGTAAAGTCGGGATTGGCGAAAATTGTTGAAGGAGCTATAACGATTTCTCAATTTGGTAGTGATGACTCAACGCATTATTCCTCTTGGTTGTCAAATAGGGATGAAGTTCTAACTACAGAGCAAGAACATCAATGGTATTTTGGCATCAAAGATAGGCTCTCTAGTCATGAAAACAATTCAAACACTAGCTACATGATCAAATTTGATAAAACGGTTTCTTTAAGTATGGATGCCACCATGGCTTTACTTTATTCCATAGATGATCTCATAAAGAATAAATGTTATAACATAGATAAAATGCAAATGAAAAATTGCATAATTGATAATGATTTAAAAACTTATATACAAAATTTATCATTTTATGGGTTGTCCGGTAAAATTGAGTTTGGTTTAGATCGATCCGTAAACAATCCTTTAAAAATTGGTAACTTTCTCGAAGTCAATGGTGTTTACGATATATTTACAGTAGGAAATTACAATTTTCACAAAGAAAACGGGAGCCAATTAAAATTAATAACAAACTTTAGATGGAGGAATTACACTTATTACAATTATCTAACTGCTCCAACTTCCAGGTGCTCAGCACCTTGCAAAATTGATGAATTACAAATGACAACTTCAAGTAAATGTTGTTGGATATGTCGCACTTGTTTTGGGCGAACTATTTTTACGGCGTCAGATCTGTTAAGGGCCAATAATTTTCAAAGGTGCATATCATGTCCGATTTACAAATGGCCCAGTTTAAATAAGACCGTATGTGTAGACATGCCAAATTTTTATATCAGAGACTTTAAGAAATATTGGAAAATAATAATAGTTCTATCATCAATGGGGATCATTTTTGCTATATCTATGGTTATATTTTACGTAAAACATTATCAAACTACCCCTTTCAAATTAGAATTTCAATCATTATTATATTTACAATATGTGGGAATATTTTTTGGATTTATATCCGTATTTCTTATAACTAATCATCAACCCAATGAACCAAAATGTGGGGCAGCTTTATTCTTTTACTTGTTATCCATTTCCCTGATTTTTGGTGCTTTGCTAAGTAAACAAAGTATAATAATCAAACGATTAAAAATTAACAAACCCGGGTTCAAGGATGTTAAATATGAAAAGCGAGCTCTTATCATGGCTATTCTAATAGTTTCGGTTCAGGTATATTCTATATTTCAGTATTATCTCTTCCACATTTATTTATATTAGGAAAAGCTTATAATTTTGAAATAGGGTATAAAAAAATTTTTTGGTAAATTAAAATGAATATTTTTAATATATATGTCGTAAATTTTAAAGGAATCGGAACTACCCGGGATCATCATGGGTTTTAAAGGGACACCTAAAAAATTAGGGATTTTATTTAAGAAATGATAATCCGTTATAATCCGATTTTATCGTGTATGAAGAATATTTTTAATTTTATTATTATTTTCAAAGTTGGCTTTTCTTGGCTTAAAGTAGATATGTTTAATGTAGGTATCAATCTTTAGCTAATTACACTTATAGGTTAATCACTCCCTCTTAATAGACGAATGTCTTAGGGAGTCAGGAATATTTTTATAAACACAAATTATCGATAGTGATATAAAAGAAAGCTAATTAAAATATCTTCTGGTTTTGTAATAGTATTTATACCTTTGTTCGTATAATATTAAGAAAATATTTTTGTAGCAAATTTATGTCCCGGTGTTCCGATAAAGGAACATCAAAAGATTTTTTTAAAAAAGAGATTAATTAAAAATCATTTAAAAAAAATTAAAAATTCAAAAAAATAATTAAGTTAGGTAAAAGCGCATAATACGCGATGCAATCATTTGTGAAACGAGGTTTGAAGGAAGGACCTTATATTAATTGAACGGATATCAAATTGTTTTTATAAATGCTATGTGAATACCAAATATACTAGGAATAATGGGTCTGAAAAACAACAATTGAGTGTTTAGAGATTAGATGATGAGTAGTAAAATGTTGCCGGAAATAGCATAAATAGGGGCAACCTCCTCAGGGAACTTTCTTATATGATACAATGGCTCTCTCGAGTGTTAATCGTTCGGAAATATTCTCATTTTTTATGGGTAATTCACAATGTCTGATAACTGTTTTAGTTCTAACGATAGATTTTTTTAAAAATAATTTAGTTATAAAGGTCAGAATATTAATAGCAATCATAAGCTATTTTGTTTTATATATCAAGTTATAGGAATAGATTTAGAAATGTTATAATAAATTATCCAAAGATTTTTTAAGATGGAGTATAAAAACGAATTATTGCACAGAGGTTAATAGACCTCTTAGAAAAAAAGAGACAAAGTAGTGGCATATGACAATACCCCTTTTTATATTACAATAAACGAGTATAGAATAAAGGTTTAGGTGAATAAATCGAACGGTGTCGTGAAGGAAAAAAATAATCCTTAGAGAACTGATGGAGATTTACCCCATATATCTTCCCATCATTATATTTTTTACTCCTTACCCCTTTAGATATCCCCCCCCCCCCCCCACAAGTTTTATTTAAAGACATTTTTCTTCTATCCATCCCGATTATGGTTTGGACGCTGGTAAAATACCATTAGAAGGGTAACCCTGATCTACAAAAAAATTGAGGTGATATTCAAGATTATTAATACTAAGAGATAATTTCACAATCCAAGCAATGACCTGAAATATAGCAAGATTTTCTATCGAACCTATGAAAGATTATATAAAGATGATTTGGGAGAGAGGGAATCGGTTTGCAGGTGAGGTAATGCATGCAAAGCAAAGAGATGAATGATTAAATAAATGGGTAATATACGTTATTAGATAAGTGTAAATAGGGGATAAAGAGAATATATGAATAGAATTACAATGAAAATCCTAATAACAAAATAATGATTTATATTGATGAGTAAGAATCTGAATTCATAGATAGTTCCGGATTTATATTTCAATCAGATGATATTTTTGACAAGGAAATAAAAATTAGGATGAAAGCTAAATCAATAAATTGAGATTTGGTTATAATGATATATGCTAAAACATGCCATTCAATTTTGCATCCCAAATTCTATTCAGTTCGAAGCCATGGATTATAAAAAAGTGTGTAGCCTTAAGACGTGGAATATGAAAATTTTGAAATGGCGATTTTATGTCATTTAAGATAAAACAACACTAAATAAAAATAAATAGTTAGATAAAGGAGATTACAAACTAAAATACAATAATAGCTTAAAAGTTAAGGAAAGATAAATTATTAGCAGCGAATAGGAAGCCGGGTATGGAATAAAATCGAGATTGGTCACTCCGCAGTTTATTTCTAATTTACTTCTAAGATTAACTTTTTAAAATATATAATTTTAAACCATGCGGGGCCCTCAAACAGCAGTGATATTTATGATTGAAGTTTTTTTTATGTAAATCTAAATACATTTATTATTTTATATATAGAATAAATATTTATATTATTCTAGATCTTCATAGTGGCAATATACCTTATAATAGGAAACAACTCTGTATATCATAGAGAATATATTCATCAATCTTTAGCTAATTCTAACAATTCAAAAAATGTTGAACCTTATTTAAATAAATATTGTGCGCCTTACCCCATGAATAATAAGGGTTTCCTTATCATAGAGTTATTCTTTCAAGCCATGATATTGATGTCTTTATGCGCTCAAACCATCCAGATAAATTTAAAATTCACTCAGGCATACATGGAAATAAAAAATTTACAGATTAATGTTTTATTGAATGTTTGTATTTATATTTTGTGCACATTGACATATTTTTCATTGTCCGGGTTTCAATCGTTAATAGCCTTACTTATAATATTTATTATATTTCTTTATGTGCAAATATTCTTTAATATCATACCGAAAATGATTGCCATACACAAGATGGCAATTACCTCTTTAAATGTCTCTTAGAGTTTTTTTAGTCCCCGATTTTTTATTACCCTTTATGTATATGCAAAAATTTTTCACTCTTCATTAATTAAAGATTATTCTAAAAAAAGAACAAAACTTTTTCTTTAGTTTAAAAAATTAAACCACAAGTCACTCATCACTGATATTTTATTTTTGAAAAGTTGAAACAATGCCTTAAAATGTAAATTATCTCCCATTTTATTATATTCGTATTTTTTTTATAATGAAGAATTGTATAGGTATAATATAAATCCTTTAATAACTGAATGTCCTGATTGAAACACAATAGTCCTGAATATTCCTAATGAATTTGGTACCAAAGGCTTATATTTTGAAAACAAAACTTCAGGAATAAACCTTTAAAAGTTTTTAAAAAAAAAGAACACTATGCGAATATTTTAATAACTATGTATCCATGATTAAATATGGTTATAATATTAACACTTGTTCTTATATTCAAATTCCTTATTCCCATTTAATATATCGTAAATCATATTATTGATTTTCCTGACCCTTAAATTTATGAAAATCGTTATAAAAGCTTACCTATATGTATATACACAAATTATTATACTTTTTAGCACCTAGATAAATCTAATTTTAGGATTGAATAAACATGTGTAATAATTCTCGCTCGCAAATATAATTGTAAAATATAGAAAGATTTTACCTCATTCACCACTTGTAAATTTTGGTCACGAAGTATGCTCTCAAACAAAAAACATTTTTTCTATGCCTTAATAAGAAATATCTGGCTAGGTATTTGCAGATCCAATTGTCTTTCTGGATTAATGCTTGCCATGTTATATCTGCTTTCTCCCCTCTTTACAATCTTTTGCTTAGCTTTCATATTAATATATTTCCTCTTTCTTAATATATATATTTTGTTATTTTTAAATATATAATTGTTTATGTTATAAAATAAAATTACTCTTTAATATTTTATTAATAAAAATAAAACAAAATCAGTATATTTGTGCAAGATTTTTATATTCTTTTTAATTTAACAAATCCAAGTAACAAGTATTTAGTGAACAACAGGGGAAAGGATAGGTTTAACGTTTTATTCTTGCCTTCGACTTCGGGCACGAGTTGAAATTAAAAAAAGAAATCCTATCGGAATAGGTACAAATCAGATCATCCTAACCTGTCTTGAAAATTAAAAATGAATAAATCTGGGTCTGTTTAAATATTTGAGCAGGTTTCTGTTAATTTTTATTTTAAAGAAAAGTTGAATACTTTTAATGTAGAATCAATCTATTTTCAAAAAAATTCAAATATAAACTTTTTTAAGTATATTAATAACTGATCCCGAAAGAAGAATTTAGGTATTAGAAAATAATTTACTAAAATAAGAAATTTGGAAAAAGACCTTATTGGAAATATAGAAAACAGATTGTTGGTCCAAAAATGTTAATTTGATTTGGTCATATTGGTTATCAGCTTTCTAAGTAAGTAAATATATATGATATTATCTAACTAAATATTCAAGGAAAAGTGATGCGTAGGAATTGAGTCGATTGCTCGATTATTCAGTCGACATTAATTTTTGTAGCATTTCTCATACTTTTAAAACTTTGAATATATTTTGCGAATTCATGTGTAAATTTTACATTTCAACAAATTTTAGTTTACCTACCAATGGACTATTAAAATTTTAAAAAGAAAAATAAATAATCCAATTAAGACAGATTATATTATGCATATAATAATATAAACAAATCAGTTTTAGAGTTTTAAAATTTAAAAAAAAATTTTTTTCTCTAATAATTCATTTAAAAAAAATATATTATTTGAAATTTTTTATAGTTAAAAAAATGGAGAGTGAAGGTATCATACAGTTCACACGATTCTAACCTTTCTTGTCTAGCTATAGCGAACAATTAATTTTGACGGATGTTTTAAAGACTTTTATAATTAATGACAAATGGTATGAATCTATTAATTTCAATATTTAACACCTCTCGGGCCCTTTCAATGCTTCTATTAGGATCTAAAGCCAAAACTTTTATTTAATTAGAGCAAACTTTGCATTACGACGAAATTTGGAAACATATGATGATTCCAAAAAATTTGAAAAGAAGCTTTAACCAAATTGTTTAATATCACAAAGTCGGGAAGGATTAATGTCCCGATAATCTATTTCCATTGGAATCTCATTATTCGGAAGTCATTAAGGGAATGTACAAGTTCAAGGTTCAGAATTTATATGGAAGATCCAAGTCAACTGATAAAGTTATAAATAAAGATATCGTTCAAGCTATAAAAAGAAGAATTACAAATTTATTCCCTCGTAATAGATTGAATAAATTTACTCGCTTAGTTTTGATCAGTAGAGGAGACCGGGGATAGTGTGTTCCCAGGGCAGGTTTTCTCAAATAATTTAAAAACTAATAAGCTTTGAGATTTAAAATTTAAGTTAAATATGTATTTTAATAAGGTGCTTAAGTAGATTTAAAA